TTTGTTATGAGATGCAATTTTAGTGTTGAAAATTCTTAGGCTAATGTGAAAATCTATTTTATTTCTATTTATAAAATTTCAAACTCCAAAAAGTTCAAATCAAACAAATCTATAAACACATGAAAATGGACAGTCTAGATAATGTGTTGCAAGTGTATTGTTTTTAATTTAATGTCTTTTTTTCTCCATATCTATACCTCTAAATGTCAAGATGATGAATTAGATATTTTCCAACATAAACAATTTTTTTTGAAAGATTTTAGAGGTGCACGTTGATTCTACATCTTAAGGTGTCAACCTTATATATAATTTTTTTTCTTTATTAGTTGTTTTATTATTTTCTAGGGAAATTTTCATAAATGCTTTTTTGCTATTCAAATTATATCTTGTAAATTTTATGTTTTACACTTAAGTCCTTTCTTCTCTTTCTTTTCATTTTCCCTGAAATGCCCGTGAGTGAGTGGTTAGGTCTCTTGTAGCTACTTTCTCTTGTAGTCATTATAAAGAGACCATTTGTTTATACAAAAAAACAAATGGCCTCTTTATAGACATATTTCATTTTTTTTATATAAAAAAAATAGTTTATGCATTGGGGATGCATTTTTACATTTGCGTCCCCCGCAGCATAAACTATCCATCTTTGGGAGGATGGAAGTCCGATGTTTCTTTCATGCCCAAGTTCAGTTGTAATCTAATTTGGGCCCTGGTACATTGTTGCAAACATGAAATCGCTTATTCATTTTATTTTTTATCTTTGTGAATCCGTTTGATGCTAAAAAGATATCGGACCACCCCGCACCTACATTTTTTTTATATATACATGTGAAGCAGTCTAACATCTCCAACATTAAACTATATTTAAAAGAAAAATTAAGGTATTATGATATCTACAACCTCATACATCCCCTAATATCTTTTTTTTTACATCGTAGGCTACAATATAGATGTTACAATGTATATGCTACATGGAGTTTATATATGGAAAAAGTTTATATAAGGATGCTACCTTATAACGTAAAACTATGGATGCTCCATAAAAATCCATCGGAAAAGATAGTATTAATGTTGAAAAACCCTTTGATTGATCATCTCGACATCGAGATGTATGATTACGAAAAATAAAAAGATTTTAAATCTCAGAAATAGTGCATTTTACAACATATTATCTACACCGTCCATTTTCATGATTTTCATATGTTTAGATCTACTTGATTTTAACCATTTTTGAAATTTAAAAATTTATAATTAGATATAAAAATAGATTCTGAAATAATCCGAAGAACATTTTACATCAAAATTATATACCATGATAAAATTTGAAGGTGCACCTTACCTCTACACTTATGGATGCATCTGTATGCCAACTGCATCCTTTATATATATAAGGTGTGATTTCATGCAATAATTATATAGTACTATAATGAAACAAATTTCAAAAACCATGTTAGGGCTATTCGTTTGAACCGGAATTTTAAATATACACTCTTTCATTCTAATGAACGATCACAAAAAAAAAAAAACAACGCTTTAGAAATTACTTTTTTAGCCTAATTAACATAAGCCGTCTATTTCGGTAAGATGCTTAGATCTAGGCTTTAGAAGTATTTTTACCTTTTCAAAAATTTTAGATAGCTTTATTATCATGAGATGAACAATTTTTTTAAAAAATAAAATAATAAATAAATACATTTGTAAGGGCGCAAATTTTGAAATTCACAAAATGGATGGTCTATACTCATTGTTGAGGGGATTGATTTTGCCCATATCTAAGATGCAAATTGAACTTCACTATTTTGAAAATTGACTGTTAGGATAGAGAGGGTCTATACAATTTTTTGGGTCATACAAATACCACAAAACAATAGTTTAAGAAATAGATCGGTGCCCCAGATCGGGTACCCCAAAAACCCATTTGGACTGGTGAATCAGTGATCTGGATAGAGAATCGTCCAAATCGGTCGGATTAAGCTTTAAAAAAAATCCAAAAAAATTATTAAAATTTATTATAAATGTTGTTTTTAGGAATCCAATAAAAAATGGGGGTATTACATTATTAACTTTCATTTTTTTCATCAATATGCGAATATTGAGATATTCATTCCCTGTATGAACTTATGTTAACCATTAAATTTACATCACACAAAAGAAAAATCATAGAATTATCATGGATGAAGTATATAATCATACATAGACTACAATAAAGAATGGATTAAATTGAGGAAAAAATGGCCACCAAAATCTCAAATTACTTAAAATTTATAGCGTGTGTACATTTTAGTGAGACGCACCTAATAAAAATATGAAAAAAATAATTTACAAAATATTAATTGATCAAAATTCCCCTGAAAATTTATGAGGGTATTTTGATCAATTTATATTTTACGAGTTATTTTTTTCATATTTTT